ACCATCTGCTTGACCTCTGAAGTGCGAACTTCTTTTCAACATCCACTCTTGTAGATGAAGCTCCGCCGCGCACCACGAATCTTCCACAAGATTCGGAAGCTAACTGATAGGCTTACCAACAGAGTCCGTGGACGTGACGGTAAGAATTGGCCTTGATTAATGAGGTGGACCACTTTTTTACGAATGTAACTTTGCCCTCACTTCTGTAGATGTCAAACGTAAACTGATGGAAACGAAGCAAACTATGCTGCCGAGATTGATGATTGCAAAGATTTCTGCCCACACTGACGACGGCACCCCTCGAACCGGATCTGAAAGTGCACCCGAATCCCATCTCGAAGAGAACCTGGCACATGAACATGGCGCCTTGGTCTCCCTTGAATCTTCCGCTTCGGAAATCGGTCCTGCTTCGATTGTTGCGATTGCCAATCAATCTTTAAGCTCACAAGACCAGGTGAGTTTGAAAGGCTATGTATCTAGCTAGGATGCAGGAGCTGACCACCCACGCACCATCTCGTACTCTGAACCGGTTGTGTAAGGCTCTGTCATTGACCGAGAATGTTCCTTCTGAAATTGAAGAGGTTGAGGGAGCGTCGTCTAGTATTTCTCTGGTGTCAGTGAGAAAGCGACCCTACGAAGAAGCAAATGGCTTGGCAGTCCATCCAGATTTGGTCATCAAGCGAGCAAAACATTCGATTGTACACAACTACGCGGCAGTCTTGCGCCTCATGAAGGACATGTATTTGAATGTGAGAGACATCATCTGTGGTCAGTCGGCGATTTTAGATACATTATATCAACTGAGTAGTTTACTAACTTGATATCCTTAGACCAAGGGCCTGAAATTGATCGAGTTACATCGATGGAGATTAAATACGCTCAAGTGCTTAGCGAAATGAGGAGCATGTTTTCACAAGTTGAACATTACTTTCAGGAACTTCTCTTGGATGAAAAGGATACTGTCATGTATGAAGCGGGTCATATCTGAGTTTTGTATTGACAGAGCTTTGTGTTGTTATGTGATTTTCTGGGTCTGTTTGGAATTAAGGTTGTCCGGAGTTCCCTACTGTGCATCTAGCCCTCTGGATGACTTTTGTTTCCACCTTTGTTTTCAATTCTTTCCTCACCTTTTACATAAATCTGGCCTTTTAATTACGTGGCACGCTTTTTGCTCATGCCATCAAAACTTAGCATTTGCTTACAGAAACAGCTGAAGGTATTTTTGAGCATCAATTTTGATCTCCTGCTTAAAGGTTGGGACGTTCAAAGGTTAATGTTACCTTCGAAAGTTAACATTAACTTTCGAGGTTAACATTAACTTTCGGGGTTAACATTAACTTTTGAAGTTAACATTAACTTTTGAAGTTAACAATAACTTTTGATGTTAACATTAACTTTCGAAGTTGACATTACCTTTCGAAGTTAACATTAACTTTTGAAGTTAACATTTCAAAGTTAACATGCTGAGCCTCAGACCTATCATTTGGAGCTAGTAAATGGAAACTCAAACACGGGCAAATTTTGATTTGAAATTCAAAGACATTAAATTCCAGAAGCCCTATCAACGCTTGCTCACTTTTTACTTTATTGTCAAAATTTTGTATGCAACACAAAATTTTGTATGCAACGTTTTTTTTATGGATCACAAGAGAAAATGCAAACCTCATTCGCAAATTAGACTGCATCGGATATGGTGGGATTGGGTCGAAAGATGATCACCGATTTTGTATCGGGCGCGAGATTGCATCGGGGATGCGGGGTAGATGCGGCCTCGGTTGAGGGCTACGCGATGGGATGATTCTATCGCATTCGGGTTTGAGTCGGAAACGTACTTTGCGTGTTTGCATCGGGCTGAGGCTCAGTTGGATGCCACGTACCCGGTTTGAAATCGGAGCTGTCTTCGATCGGATCAGCCCGCCCGTTTTTGAAACGGACTGAACAATCAGTCGCGTGATGCGTGCTCGATTGCAGATCGGAAGTCTGTCTAATCGCATGACTTGGGCGCGGTTCTGCATCGGGGCGCCCTTCCCGAAATGACAACAGGAAGGGCTTTCCGACGTGAATTTCTTGGCGGTGAGTATTGCTAGTAATAAACATAGTGTGTGGACTTTTTTTTGCGCTTAAAACTGGGAATAATACTACACAACAGTATTGCTTTATTTCACTGGTGCCTTTATCTTTTTCTCTGTTATCACAAAGTGGTCAGCAAGTGCCCTTGTGCTGGTTTCTTTGAAGAAGGCAGTCTTTAGGCAACTTCTACTATATTACACGTAGTAGATTATCCCTTCTTAGGTGTTGTAAAGCTCTTGTTGAGCTTCAAATACTACACCGTTTGATAGCAATTTCAATCACACTTTGTGGCAACTTTGATTGTGGGCATGGACTTTGTGAGGTGATAATATATCAAAACTTACTCAACTTCCAAGCTGGACCTAATCACAAAACTCAGCATGATTTTTACACTGATCCTGCCAATGTCAAAGTTAAAAAGTACTCTTAGAGTGGAAGATCTGCTAACAATGCACAAGAATATGGGCTCAGTGTGCCTGGTCCTTATTATGAAGTTGTTGGTGCATACTCAATTTGTTCAGTTTGATTTGGTCTGCTTTGAAATCGCAGCAATCAAAATGGGAGTCTGTCTGGGTTGCAGGCAGTAATCATTCCTTAATCTTGAGCACAATTTGTGGGTGCAGATTCACACTTTTCACATTTTTTTGCATTGCTTATTTCACATCAATCACCATTTGCGACTGGCTTGAAAATATATGTGAGTACTTTCAAAAAAACAGAAAGGAAGTTGTTCAGATGAGGTAGCTTTACAAACCTAACCCTGAATGAGATTCACACATGTCAATTAATTCTAAAGGCTTTGGGACTGAGTTCACGTGGTGGGTGCGGGTTTTGAATTTTGGGCAGGCCCGGGTGCGGATTTTGAACTTTACAAAGGCACACCTATAGTGAGGGCGCTGAGGTGTACCTCTGAGGCATTAAATTTTTAGACAATCTCAACAACATCAAAAATAGCATTTTTATGTTTCATGATACTGCTGGTGATCAAAAAGGGGCATTTCATCAACCACCATCAACAAAAATCATTGAAAAGGTCATCTTTGTCCCAATCCTCATTCCTCAACTAAAACATTGGTCTCTGTATATCAACACTCTCAGGATGATCCTTTGTCATTCCTCCTGCTTTGCTTATCCTTGCCAGGACTTTGAGATGGAATTTGGAAAATTTAGATGCTAAACACACAATTTTCACCCATAATCACCTGGTAATTGGGTGGGATAGAGCTAAACCTGATATGGGCACGCCAACCCTAAAATCAAGCCAAGAAGGCCTGCCCCAGGTCCAAGCTTTCAACATAGTTTACAATGCCTTTAAGGATTTCTCCTTGTATCTTAGTCTTTTATCAATTAGGAAAAATCTATACATTGTCAACAGACTCTCAGAATCCTGTGACCATTGTGGGTGCTCCTCACCAGATTCCTCAACCCACAATAAAACTGACTGCGCACGCTGGCTCCTGTATTGAAGAACGTCAGGTGTGTCAATGCTGAGACAGCTATGCTGCTACCATGCATTTTTGTGTGTAGTGCAGCTGAGTGCAGTTAACAAGAATCTTACCTCTAGGATAGTGTAGCTTGTCAAGTTACGCTATGCTACAAGCTACTGTAGCTGAGTCTTGTGCCTCTACACTGCAAAAATTGGGTTATCTGGAGTTTCCTGCAAATCTGTGTAGGGTAGCTGTAATTCATGCACGCATAAATCAGGCTAGCTGTAGCTTACCGCGCTGGTGTTAGGTACGCTACCTCGAACTATCCGCTACCGCTAGATTAGCTGTCTCAGCGTTGGGCGCATCTAGACGAGCCCGGATCGATGCGCTTTTGGCAATGCAAAACACGCCGACCCACCATAGTTCACTTGCCGTATCAAGTTGCACTTGATGGTAGTGCGTACACCATCGGTCACAAGATAACAACCGTCCTTTGCTCCCTGGATGTGCGACTCGAACTCATCTTCAAGTTTCTGTTATTGATGATAAGGTTTTTTAGGCTACGTAAATCAGGACTTGTGCGCCCTCAGGCTCGAGTAAGCGTGCGTTCCTTTGAAAGGACCACATATGTATTGTACATAGAGGATTGGACCGGAGCGCTCTGAGATGGTGTTATCCTGAGAGCTGTGAGGGCCGATTCGTTGGGTGCCGTAATGATGAGGCTCATTCCATTTCCAGGCAGTCTAGCTCGGTATGAAGATACTCTAGAGCAGTCGTCAAGAAATTGTCGGGAAAGACGATGCAGCATGACACATGTGCAAAATGCAGTTGAGTTGATGTGATGAGAATGAAATTGGGTCACTTCGCGCATGACTCCGAGTCTTGTCCATCTCATTGAACAACTTCGAGCGTTCGTATCAAGAAGAAAAAGATCACCATGCATGGTTTTGTAATGCTCTAACAGATGTTCTGACTTTGATTAAATCACGGTACAAGTAGGTACAGCTAGTGGAGTTTGCTATAAATTAAAAAATGACACGAGCACTGGACCAACATGAAATGCTGAGATCCTGCCATGGTTGGTTGTGCGGCTCCACTACTAGCATTTCCCCTGAATTTATATCAGCTTCATGGATATTCACTGAGCACTCAAATGAAGCAGGTAATGCCTGGAGCTGATCTTAGTGCTGCCCTGAAAATAAAGAAACGTCGAACTCACATGTTGAAAAGGATTATAAATTGTTAGACAAGGTGACGATCATCTCGCTCTTCTCCATCCTCTTGACCATTCATCATATCATCTTCACAGTACAAGTCCATCCTCTATTCATTTTTGAGCACTTGATCATTATCACCAGACCTTTGTGACATTCGAATTTCTACTTCCTTATCTTTTTACTCTTATTTCTCTCCTTATTCAAGTCACTTTTGACCTTTCACCTCTGTCTCCATCTAACGCAATCTACTTATCCTTCCTATACCTAACTATTAATTACATTCAAGATGGGAAGTCCTCTCGATGCCGAGACTGTTAAACTCATCAGTATCACTCAGACCTATTTTGCTGGTGAGCCAACTAAACTTTCTCTACCTTCTCATATCAACTCTTTCTGAAACGAACGCGCAATTTTGTATGATTAGCCATGTATGCGGTCGCTTTGTGGGACTGGATCATCTGTCTTCCTAAGGAATACCGTCGGTGAGCTCTCTCCTTTTCCTACCATGTTCTTCATAGTCACTTGACATCTAACTTACGCGATTTTCGTTAAACATAGAATTTGGAAAGCTCCATTCTCCTTGATTAAAGTCTTGTACTATTGCAACCGATACTACACGCTGGCCAACCTTCTTCTCGTGCTTTACGTTCGTCGCATCGCTGTTTAATCTCCTTCCGATCTCACAATCCTCTACGACTCGTATATGAGCTGACATCTTGTCTTCTGCTCGTCTTAAGGGGTTCTACTCGAGCATGACTACTGCTGAATGCAGCCGTTTTTACAAGTGGGAACCGGGAGTAGCTTCCTTTACTACAATCTTTGCAGAGGCGTAAGTTTTCATCACAGCCAGTCGCCTTGAGTCCCACATATAACCAACTTGTCCTGAATGTATTTCAACAGTATCTTGGTCATCAGAACCTACGCGCTCTGGGGAAAGAACAAGTACATCTTAGCCGGCTTGTTGCTTGGCTTTACGACGGAATGTGTCGTTTTGTTATTCGCTGTGACCCAGTTCCAGGCAGTCCCTACAAGAGACCCTACTGATCCTGAAAGTCGAGGAGCTTGTATCGCTGGTGGTGGTCCCGGTGGTCACGATTGGTCTATGGTGAGTCTCCTGATTGAGCCACATAGGTTGTTGTCGTGAAACTTAGCTAAGCATTTCGGTTTCATAGGCTTATTGGGTCTCACCTATCGTTATGGACACGATCATGTTGATCTTGACGAGTATTCGCGTGAGTCAAGCTCCCTTTTGCCGGGAAGGTCACTTGCAAACAATATTGACTTATCATTGACTTTCTAAAATATCCAACAGGCTCTTCAATACCGTAATCGTGGTGTCAAGAGCACTGTTTTTCAAACGTTTGTCCGTGATGGTATTGTGAGTTTTAATGACTTCATCGGCCCAATTTTGACGGCGCTGACGATCCTGACTATACGCCTTGACCTCGCAGTTGTACTTTGCGGTCGTTTTCGTGGTCAATCTGTAGGCCGCCTACTCTTTGAATTTGAAATCTCCCTCCTGAATTAATTTATTGAATCCTCACTTCTTTTTCGCGTGTAGTATCAACACGATCTTTTACTCGTTGCCCAACCAAGCCCTTCAAGCGGTCAACAGCCCGATGTCTCTTCTGGTTTGTGTTTGACCAATAGTCACGCGAGGCTTTATCCTGTACTGACTCTTTGATATCTTATGTACCCATATGATTGTAGATGACGTCAATCATGTGCTCTCACATTGTTCTCTCACTTCGAGGAGAAGAAAAAGAGGCGATGGAGAATGTGAGCCGAGATTGGCAGGTCAATACATGTATGTTTCCTTTGTTTCACCTACCTCTCATAGATACGTCCCAGCTTTGCCTGACAAAGTTGCAATTTGATTAGTCCTGAGGAAGAAGAAAGAAAACGGCATGAGTAGCAGCGAAAAACGAGGCGTGATCCGCAGTGTTATCGGTGGTGATCATCTGCCCCCAAGCCGCGATATCGATCTCCACGCTTTTGCTCCTCCTCTGGGTACACATCCTTACGAGGCTAACGGTGATAATCCTAGTGGAGTGGCACCCAATGAAGGCTACCCGGATGAGAAATATGGCGGTGTTCATGTTGATGTAGAGTTGGGGGTAGCCGTTGAGAATGAGAAGCGTAGTTCAGAAACCAATGCTGGTGCAGCTGGTAATTCCTGGAACAGGAACCAGTCACACGGAGGAGCCTGAAAGTTTACGAGCGGTGTTGGTTTTTAAATCATTCAGTTACTTTTATCTCACCTTTGGCATGATTTCATTTGAGCTGTACCTCATCATTTTATCATTATCCTTTTCTTCGGTTTTTTTCTTTTGCTCAGCATGGATGTCTTGTCATACCTAGCCTCCAATTTTTTTTCATTGTCTGTTAGTTTTAGTTTCATCTGGTATAGGTTGTCGTTCACGAGTATGTACATATATAGGCTACCTTTTTTATATTCAAGTGTGGCATATACGTAGACCGGGGTTTTAATGTATTAGTTCGTTTTTCACAACATTGAGCGTAAAGTTACTCAAACTCTTGAGACTTTTCCATGTCGAGACCAACCACTAGGTAAAATTGCACTTCATGTAGTGTTGGGAGAAGCACCATCAGTTCTATATCTTGAGGGCATCGTGCCACTGCCTGTGGAAGAATAGCATTCAAATGAGTCGCCTAAACTGGCCCAGGAATCTAGTACTGACCAGTAGAACAGTCAATCAATCTAGGCATGTAGATCAACCTATCCATGATGCCTCCCGCATCCTACATGATTATGATCTCTATCAGTCATGATGTCAAACGATTCAAACGAGTTGAAGATGGGTGACTGAGCTGCTGTAAAAGTACTTCAATCGAAAACCCATCGCTTCTAAACACACATCCCTAGAGATGACGGACCGAGTCGGAGTCGACCTGAAGGTGACACCAGCACTGAATGCAAAATCACTCGAGTAAGTGCTTTTGAAAGAATATCTGTTGACAGATTGACCATGCATGGGAAGTGAATCGAGTAAGGAGTCAATTCCTTCAATCCATGGCTCATACATATACCATATACCACTTTTTGGACATCATCATCTAATCTTTGTGTCCCCAGAAGTATAATCAAGGATCCTCAACGATTGTTGCAAAGCCACCTAATCACAGTGATCAAGCAGACATTTTTTATCTTACGAAGCTTGAGCGGCTTGTAACGATACCCAGGAGAGAAATTTGTCATAAACTTCATCAACACTCCAACAAACCGTCCAGGTCATACTGAGATATCCCCGTAATACATCTTCAGAGAGGCCGAAGAGATTGTCTCAAAGATCCATGTCCAAGTGTTGGGTGAATTTCCTGTGTTTAAAAACTTCATGAGTGCAATCAGATTACAGAAGGACAAAGATAAGAGTGCCGGGATGAACACAGTGTGCTTTGAGCTGTACCTCATATCTTCATCTCCATCAATTCCTTACTTTTTCTTTTTGCTCAACATGTTTTTCCTATCATAGTTAGTCTTCAATCGTTATCTTTGTCTGTCAGTTTTGATTTCTATATAACATCAGTTCTCGTTCACGAGTAGGTAGACATATGTATCTTTTTCTAAAAATCTCATGAATTGAGCGTGAAGTTATTCATCTCCTTCCGAATGTTCTTTTTCCAGAGAAAGTGACATTATTCTTGTTGATATAGTCAGAAGTCAGTAATATATATCTTTTGTTGGTTAAAGTCCCATTTCGATGGCAAAGTCAACGTAGGTACCTTTTAGGAGTTTATAGCTGGTCAACTGTTTATATACAAACATAGGTTACGTCTTGATCAGACCAAGAGCCGAAATAGGCCGAAATTCCTGCTGATATAACTTTTCCTCTACACTGGTGCTCCGGTCTCATCTTGTAGTACTACTCGGGCGGAGAGACTTTGATAAGTTGAGATCTCATCCGACCGATTGAAATGGAAAGACTCAACGCAAGGTATCAGATGACCGAACACCTCTACCTTAATGGTATGATATTTGAAATTTACAGAATGACAAATAAATTCATCTTGATATCTAAGTATCAAGGAAGGTCCTTATTAATACCAAAGGTTGTACTTAATACATCTTTGATCACGATGTGTGATGATGATATTCTAGTACAATTTCTTTTCGCAATTTAAGCTTGCTCCGAATGGTTTTTTTTGTTGAGTTTTATGGTGTGCATTGATTTTGGTGGAAGATGATGAGTCTGAGATGAGATAATTACATCCAGATCTGATTTTCCTTGACGTTGAGACTATACATAGACTGATTGGTATGGCAAAGTGTGGCGATGATGAAGGATGAGAATTTGATGAAGGATCACATTCATGGAGGTTGGAAAGTGGCGCAATCTGGCGCAATGGGATGATTTTGAAATGGACAAAACCTGATGAAACCATTTAGCTTAAGAGATTAAAGCTGTATGACCGATATGTATACATAAGGATTTGGATCTTTACTTCTCTTTACTTCTGATCCGAATCAGCCAGTCAGATGGACTTGATGAGAATAATTTGAATCAGACAAGAGTGTTCTTCAAACTATCATCAACCAATCACCATTCGACATTTATTAATATTATTGATTATTGATTGATGATCACCATTCAGATTGAAATCCATCATCAAGAGTCAAGACTAACTCAATGAGATCAAGATTATCCATCAAATCCATCAACATCATCAATATCTTAGTGATCTCATTTAATAATATTATTCAAGCTGAACCACTGAATCCAAGATTCACTTCATGTATCTCTCAACATTCCGATTCGATTTCAACTTCAGATCAACTCATTAACTTTCATCAACTCTTCACTCAACTTGATCACTCTACTCTTTCTCATCAGCCAATCTTACGTTTCTCTTTACATGGTAATGTTTCAACTCAATCTTTGGGTTATAGTTCGAGAACTAATTTCTTAGGTAATCAATCCATCTCTTTATCATTCTATTCTATTCATCAAATCACTGATCTTCATCTCATCCAAATCACACTTTGATCTTAATCAGCAACACTCATCACTGAATCATCTGTACTTAACTTTCAAACTTTCTTCAATCAATCTGCATTATGCTCATCTATTCGTACTCCAAACTATCTGGCTTCAAACTTCAGCACTCCTACCACTCCTGATCAATCAAACTCTTCTTTGGCTTCTAATTCCGGTTGTCCATATGGCCCAGGTGATCTTGCTCTCGGTTTCTCAATCCCTCTCACAAGTACATTTCCATTCACTTCGATTTCAACTCAGCTTCATCTACTCGATACCTCAACCCCGGCACTCACTCTAGCTTGCGTTCAATTCGATTCGACACCTTATTACCCTCATCAATTCTATTACAAAATCATCTTTTGGATCCCAGTGGCTCTCACTATCACTTATCTCATCGCCTCTTGGACTGCTAGGATTTGGGCTGCAAAAATATCTGAACAACTTGATCATGAAGCTAGAGTGGCCACCAGTATCTCTGATCCTTATAATCCTGCCAACTTTGATTCAATGCCTCATTGGGCTCTTATCTGGTGGAACACTTGGGCCGGTCAAGGTTTACTGGTCTCTGGCGCACTCCTTAGATTTGCTACTCCTAGTGCTCGTGATATCATTTGGCATGCTCAATTTGTGACCTGCTTAGGTCTCTTTGCTGTTCAATGGCCCGATTTCTTCTACCCTATTGTGGCTCAAACGGCTTGGAGTACACTCGTCTTCAACAGCTCCTTCATCAACTCCTTTCGTTCATCATCACACCTTCCTGTCGATGCACTCGCCACGCCTCCGTATGATCCACCCAGTCCGTTTGTGACTCAAATGGACGACCCTCAAAGTCCAATCTACCTCAATCGTAACTTACCAAATCAACTACTCAACTTGAGACCAGAGTCACCTGGTTTTGAGCGATGGGCAAAGATCTTGGGTATCCAGTCAACTCAAGTCTTTGGTACCTCGGCTGTCTTCTTTGGAATCATTTGCGGTGTAGCTATCGTTTGGGGCGTAATATGTTATATCATAGATGTTTCAATCTCTTGCCTGAATCATCGAAAAGAAATGGCCGCAACTGAAATTGATGATGGTGTTGGATATGAAAGTCGAGATGGTAGAGCTCCTTCAAAGGAACTTGAGGATATTGTCCGTGATGGAAGTACGTCCGCTCAATCACCATGGTGGCAACCCAAACTCTCAGGGGGCTTTCGAGAAAAATCTCCCAAACGACCGCCTCAGCGTAGATTGTCTGGTATTGGACCAAAGGGCTTTTCTCGATTTACTCACGCTTCAGCTTGGAGGCTTCATTGGGCTTCACTACAAGGTGAGTTTTACCACTCAAGATCATAACGGGTGGGGTCAATGACTGACAAATTGTGCTCATGACATCAACCCAGGAAATCTAACTAGAATCATCTTACTGTTCTATTATCCAATGATTAGTTTTGCTTCTTATCAATTGAGCCTCTTTGGAACAGCATCTACTTCTTCAATCGCAGTGGCTGTGGTATTTCTTTTTCTTTTCGTCTCAGTACCAGTTTTACAAATCTATCGAATCAAGAAACGTACACCTGTTCAACTTTTGGATGACCTTCCCACCATCCTTGCTCTTGGTCCGCTTTACAATACCTATGCTGATCGGAATGAGATCTTCATCGCTGTACGACTCTGTAGTGCCTTGGTAGTCGGGATCGCTCTGGGTGCTAGTCAATCTATGGCTATCATCCATGCTGTAGTTTTATTGGTGGCTGAGATGACTGAGACAACTTTGACGGTGAGTGAGGCAACAAAACAGCCTTCAGGCCTTGTGATCGAAGTGCTCAACTAACGGGTTCATTTCTTTATTCATTACTTCAGTCTCTATGGCTTCCGTGGGGTGACGGAGCTGCCATGGCCCCATTATCTTTTGTCTTTTCAGTCTCTCGAATCATCACGGCTGTGATCTTGGTGGTCTTAACCCCAACAGTTTCCCTCGGTTCGATTGCGACCGGATGGCTAACCTATGTGATCTTGTTACTACAAGCCATTGTGTTTCTACTACTGCTATTGATGTTATTGGTTAAGATTGTTGAGCTCGGATTGCGATTAATCGCTCATATTCCATTTGATGAGACCCGTAGTACTCGATCAGGTGGGCTCAAGGGTGCGATCCGAAGATGGGACCGAAACGGGAACCGCACTACTCGTCATGGTCGAGCTGCCGCAATTGCTGCAAGACGAAGAAGGCGAAGGAGAATTAAGCAAAGTGGAAGCACTTCACTTGGTTTGGGTATCAAACAACCTAGCAACACCTTACCTCCTAGAACATCGATTCAGTTTTTGGATGGACAGCTAAAGGGATCTGTTTCAGGCTTGAGCACATCTCATCCGCTCATCAGACAAGAACAGGATGACATGCGGAACCGGATCAATGTTCTTTCTCATGGTCATCAATCACCTGTTGGTATGATTGGAATGAATGACGATGACGGAAATATAATGTCTGCGATGTCACAAGGACCATGGCTTCGAACCCAACCACCTTTTGAACTCAACACGATCCCATCAGCACATCATGAATCTCATCATCCTGTTCATACGCCACCGAAACCTCCTCCCACCACAGCTGTGGCTTCATCTGGATTTGCGGTAGTCAGAGGAGGTCGAGCAACAGAAAAGACACCATATGAAGTTCATGATGATGGAAGAAGAAGAGATTATCCACCCATGGCACATCAAGCCCCATCTACATCTGGATTTTCATCTTTCACTGGAAGTGGGAATCGTACGACTACTAATTTATTTGATCAACCTGATCATCATACTACTTCACCTAGAATTGAAAACCAAAAGAAAAAGATTGCAAGAAAGAATAAGCGGACGATGTGGAGAATTGGAGGTTTGAGTAATCGGAGAAGAAATGAAAGTTCATCTGAAGATGATGAGACAACCGAAGAAGAAGAAGAAGAAGATGATGAACCAAGAGAAGGGAAGAGTCGGATTGGAAGATTGTTTGGGAATTGGAAACGGTCATCGACTACTTATCAAAGAAGATCATCAACAGAAGATGAGCTAATTGAAGAAGAAGGAAATGTAGAACCCACAAGTAGTGGTGGTGGTGGTGGTACTAAGACCTTTGAAGTGGTTAGACAACCTAGATTGAAACCTTCACCTGCTTTGGTTCATACGCCTGTTACGTCATTGGGATTAGGAGGAGGAGGAGATGACACGGATTTATAATGTCTTATGAGAAAGTTTATTTAGTTTATTATTACTTGGGAAAACTTTGAAGGATTTGAATTTAGGTTTAACTTTTCTTCTTTTTCTCTATGGACCTTTTTTTGTCTATTGTTTTTTTTTTGGCTATTATTGGCAATGCTTTTTTTTACTTTTTTTTACTTTTATGGGATTTTGGATTTTGGATTAGAGTGTTTTTCATTTATTTTTATTGTTGTTTTTCTTTATATTTTTATTGATGAATTTCATGAATTTGAATGGATGAATGTGTTTATATGTGTATAGACTCATGGGGGTGTTTTGGGGGAAGATATATATGGGATAAAAGAGGATAAATCAATAATTTGATAATTCGCTTAGGGCATGTTTGCTTAAGGAATTTCTGACCAGAAATCACATTCTGTAAATTTTTTTAATGCAAAAATGTAACATGCTCCACTAAATAGACATTTTAAATTTTGCAGAATGTGATTTCTCACCAGAAATTGCTTAAGTGAACACGCCCTTAGGGCACATTTGCTTAAGGAATTTCTGACCAGAAATTACATTCTGTAAATTTTTTTAATGCAAAGATGTAACATGCTCCACCAAATAGACATTTTAAATTTTGTAGAATGTGATTTCTTACCAGAATTTGCTTAAGGGTGTGTTTGTTTAAGTGATTTTTGGTCAGAAATCACATTTTACAATCATACACCACCGGGCAGCCTTTGAGTGAAAGAGGGCTGCCAGGGTGCGGTGAAGGGCTCTGTGAGTTTCACAGAGCTTCCGACTTGAATCACAGATGGAACCCAGCGATGTTGAACCCTGTGCAAGTTTGAATCACATGGATGTGATGTCACAGCCAGCAGCGGTGAAACCGTGTTACAATCAGGTCGTGATCCGTGGTGAACAGATTCACATTGGCCACGTTGATCGCCGTGTGAACATCGCATCAGCTCTGCCTACAATGAGATCACCTGAGGACCTCATTGTAGCCATACAGAGCAGGTGACCTTGGCCACCCTGAGTAATTTCCGTTTTGGATCAAGAACTTCGATCCCGAGGATTTCTGCAGCTTGTATCACAAACCAGGGAACCAAGTCCATTAGGGCATTTTGAAATTGAACCAGTGGGCATGGCAGGGTGTGGCACAGTCATTTCAGGTCAAGACCCTTTTGGTCCAGTTTGAGATTGACCCAGTCATAGAGGATCTTTGTCCCATTGGTTGAATATTCATCAACAACTAACGTTCAGAATTTATTCTCCTTCAAATCATTGTTTTGTTATCTCTCAATTATTCGTTCTTCTATACATCAGAAAACATCACTCTTCCAATTATCTCTCAATCACATTTTAGGCCCCATCATTATTGTTCAGAGCATTCTAGGCACTTCTTTTTCCTACTTCCATTGTTTAAACCTGTGTCACTTGCAAAACCTCTGGCTTCAAATCTTGAGCTCATCTCAATGCATAACCCTGCAGCTAGAGTTCAAGCAAGTGTCACAGATTTACAATAATGGATGAAGTGATTAAGAAACCTAAACATAAGTCTCTGAGTACCATTCTTTCTCACAAAAATTGTACCAAACGGAAGAATGCTGAGAAAAAAAATCAAGATCACCCACCACCCAACCATTGAAGTGCCAAGATTGCCAAGCTCACTGAAAGATATGGACTGCCACCCAAAACAAAATTCCTCTTTTTCAAGAAATTTGAAAATCCTCCTTTTATAATCTATCATGGAACTGTTGTTTATCTCAATGCCAACACCTCTCAATTATTAGGGATTTTTCAATTTGTTGAGCCAACTCCTGAAAATGTGGCTTTTTTTGAAAAGTACAACCATTCAATTTCAACTGTCTATAAACACGCTCAAGCACACGGACTTTGTAAGACAAATGGTGCTGCCAAAAAAGCCAAAGCCAATTGAAAGAAGTATGGCAAGATGTATTGTGCTGGTTTCAGGCCTGGATTTGACCGGCTTGTTAAAGCAGGTTAGTTAATTTCTCTTCAAATTATGTTCAATCAAGCATCAATATTAATGACATACTCTTTCAGCTACATATGCTTTCAATGCAGCCACAGGTGCAAAGCTTTGGAAAATGCAAGAAGATCTCACTCGTCAAGGAAATCTCCCAGCAATTGAGGACTTCTTTGCAGAACGATTTTCTGGATCATCTTCTTATGCTTTTAAATCTAATGCTGAAGTTGCCGCAAGTACTGGTGCACCTTCTTGGGACAGACAATCATTTTATGTATCACCTAATGCGCAAGTCTTTGCTTCAAACATTGCTGTCACCTTTGACAAGTTTGTCAATGCATCTCATACCAACAATGATATTACTCAGTATGCCTTTGGTTTTTTCACACATATCAATCGCCAAACTGGGAAACTGTACTCTTTAAAAAACAATGAGTATCAAGGAAATGTTGTTGGTGACAGTTTTCATTTGGACGACTAAAACATCACAGTTGATTACAATGCACTGCGTCCACCACCTCCCTTCTCGACATTGAGAAGGGTAGAATGTCTGGATTTGGTTCAACTTTGTTCCAACTTTATTGCGGGTTAGTTCCACTACTGAGTATCCCACTCAGCATAGACTGAGAGATGCATGAGTGATTGATCAGAAGCCATTGAGCCTCAGGGAATTCCTCAGACGTTAGATTCTCTGCCTCAGGATATTCCTTAGAACTTCAGACTCGCTTATGTTTCCTTTATGTCATTCTCTTATGATCCAACCCTTTTGACCAACACATGAACTCAAGTTCAAGTTCATCAACTCGATTCATCACCGTTGCCTAAAAAATCCTTCATGAAATCAACTCGATCAAAAGAATACCTAAACCAATTAATCAAATTAATCACTCAAATTCGGCTCATAACCGGAGAGTACATGTCACGAGAATTTCTTAAGTGTCTTAAAGAAAACGGCACAACTATGTATCTGTCAACTTCCAATCTACCCTCATTCAAAGAGAGTCAAAAGAATTACCCTAACCAATTCAAAAGCTGAAGGTTTTAAAACGATCAAGAAGAAAGTCTTGATAGTTAAAGAGATGATTAAGATTGATCAAAATCTCCAACTTTTGACAAAGTCGAAATAAATCATTAAATAACTTGATCATCATCATTGAAAAGTACATCAACTTATTCCCAGTTCTTTCTATTGATATATAGAAAAGTCAAAGATGTTCAAGAAAAGCCCAACGAATGCATTTTAAAGTTGTTAAAAAAACCAAACTGAACCAGATTATATTCTATGAGAGATATATAGATGACTTGTTTTGGATTTAGAACTAATCAGATGAGTCAATTCGCTTCTACTGGCCCAGAAGCCTCCGCTCCACAACCTTCACTTGTCTTAGAACAACCAGAGTTTGACATTACCGATGCTTTTGACTTTGACGATTTGGAAGTTGAGGAAGAAATTTCATCTATTAGTGGGTTTACAATTCGAACTAAGGATTCAAATCTGATATCTCAGCACCCTTACATTAACGCATCATCGAATTAAGAACTGGAATCTTATCTAAATCATCACCAAGAAACAAAAACTAAAAAACTAAAGTAAAAGAAATCAAAGAAAAGAAAACTAGAAATCAAAGCCGGCTTAGTCCATTAAGTCAACCGAATCTTGATACATCAAATTCAGAAGATTTTGAAGTTTTGATCCCATTGTTTGTTCCTAATATTGAAGCTTTTACTTGTTTCAATAATCCATTTTCGACACCTCAAGAATGGACAACTCATCCAGATCACGGATTGACTCCTAATCCTTCAAATAAATCAAAATGAGAATCGTTTTTAGGAGATGAATGAAACCCCATCTGATCAGATGAAATGGTGGCTGGTCTGAATGCTGCTGTGAAGTGGAGGTTGAGATATGAATGAGTTTTACAAATAGGAGAAAGTGGAGATTTTAAAAAAAGAGAATAAACTTGGATGCTTGATTGAAGTGGATTCGAGTAAGGCAGGAGTAGATTGAGAAGATAATTGATGTAATAATTGAGGAGTACTCTTATAAGATTGAATGGCTTCAGGGGTTGGGCTTGAATAAGGTGAATCGATGTTTGAATGATGAGTGGTAATAGTAGTGGGTGTTCGTTCAGCTTCAGGAGATGCTAATGCGATGATGTTCACATTATAATTGTTACTATCGATAGAAGTTAAAGTAGGTGAAGTACTTGAACTAGGATTGTTGTTCTGATTATTGGTCGAAGTGATATTACTAGGATGGTTATTGATTGATGTTAGATTTGGTAGATTTGAAGGAATCATGGAATTTCATGGTGATAATCACTATGACCAATTGAGTACCAGTCCATGTACGACGTTTTTATCATCTTGTCAAGATGGAGAAATTCAAATCAATCTCAATGTGATACGTAGACGGAGTTCCCATTCCAATATCTTTCACTTGATTGTACAATTGATCCTGATTCTAAAAGTGATTGATATTCTATTAGATCAATTTGTGATTTGATTTCATAAAATGCATATTGGAGTTGTTGCATAGCTAATGCTCTTGCTGCACTGATAGAGGTAGTCTTGAAGAGTTGACTGTTTGAACTGAGTAAAGGCCAGGCACGTCGTAAGTAACTTCATCTCGTTTGGAATGCATCCTTTGGAGGAATATTGATTGAAAGGGGTTCAAGGGGGGAATTGTTCAGTTGAGAAAAATCAGGCGGCGCGCTGATGCGCAGGTCTGAGCTGTCCAGGTTTTCAAATGGCTTAGGCTGCTTAGGGTTGCTCAGGGTTGCTGATGTTTTGAATGAGTGGAAGAAACAATTTTTTGAAAAGATCTTTCTCGCAGCAAACCCTGACCATTCTACCCTTCTCGACGTCGAGAAGGGAGGTGGTGGACGCAGTGATGCATGTGATGGTGTTGTTGAGGCACTGTGGGCCAGCCACATTCATCACCACGCTTTGGCCGCAAAGACTTACAATGTCAAAAATGTCAAAGTTGTCCCATCAAGAGGAAAAGTCACTTGCTTTGGCTGTGCTTGTCAGATTAATGAACGTTTGGTAGAAAGAATCAGTCAAGTCAATGACTTGCGTGGTGAGATGGATGATGAGGAATGGGAAGAGTATTGAAGAACTGTGTTGACTGGATATCCAGAGGAGGCACACAAAAAGATGACAAAATTGGCTGAGAAACATGGTATTGATGACATTAGTTTGATTTTTTCTCCCTGAAATGTTATTTGTCAAACACTGCTTGTTTTCCTTTTTTTGAATCTTTCACCTACATTTTCATGCCTGCAAAATACTATTCTATCAATTTTAAGCCTTGCTTTGCATCCATATGGGATACTTTTCCAACCTTTGGCTCATGTTGAGCTAGATGTGGATGAACAGAAATGATATTCACTCCTT